AGATCTGTAGCAAGGAACGCTGACCACTAGAACACAATCAGTAAAAATCTTATGTTTCTGTACAGTATCCACCGTCCTCCCTGTTTATATTTCAAAACGCAACGTTTCGGAGACGGGATTCTGTCTCCGTCTTCAGGTAGAACCTACTCAGTTGGACCCAGTCGACAGAACTACTCCCTGTTCCCGGCCCGGAGACAGAATCCAGTATCCGAAACGTTGCGTTTTGAAATATAAACAGGGAGGTGTTTTATATAAAACCAGGACGATATACATATAATGTCCAGAAACATAATATTTGCACTGAAATCGATAGTACTACGCACACAGCGAAAATTCAGCAAGATTTATCATGCACTGCCATGGCAATAAACCGATTGATGGATTGAAGGTTCCGAACTGTAATTAGACTTCTGATCTATAGATTATACTCACGTTATAACTAAACTGCTCTCCCAGGCTTCACCAACAAATCACATCTGGCGAGCTTCCTCTCTTTGCGATAATATTGTCCCTAAAGCTTTCGTCACGTTGAGGATATCCGTTACACTGTTGCTGGCCCATAACTTCACATTAAACATTGATTCAAAATGGTTATATGGCCTTAGTGTTCTGAAAGTTTCAATTTCAGTCATCTCCGAGAAAGAAGTAAATCCTTAACGTTTCGATCGCCTCCGTAGTCCAGTGATCAAAGTTCATGGCTACAGATCCAGAGGTCTCGGGTTCGATTCCTAGCGCTGCTACATTTTCTGAGAAGTATTGGGTCTAGAACGGGGTCCCCTCAGCCACGTGAGGATGTTTGAGGAGATATTTCGGGGGAATAGCGGACCCGGTCTAGAAAACCGAGATTAATAGCAGTGGGAATCCGTTGCGCTGACCACGTGACACCCTCTATCCGCTAAAGTTGGCACTAACTTCGTCGATAAGCTGCAGTCGATCGGTCGGTATAGTTCGCTTGCGGACTGAAGCCACGGTTGTTTTTTGGTCATGATTTTCGATAATAGACATCTGAACAGTATGTTAATCTCCCTCCAGTACAGTCACAATTCACAGATCGTAACATGATAACACCATATGTCACCATCTCCTAACCTATAGCTCGCGTACCACCTGTGAACCGCTAATGTTCTGTGACTGGACCGTGGAAATTCATATTGAATATACTATTTTAAGAACCGCATCACGTGTTTTAAAAATGTAAGTTATTTCCTAACATGTTTATTATTGGCCGGGCCATAGCTCAAGCGGTTAGTCGCTGGCTTCCCACCGCGGCGGCCCTGGTTCGATCCCAGGTCTGGTCAAGTAAGATTTGTGGTGGACAAAGTGGCGTTGGGGCAGGTTTTCTCCGAGTACTTCGGTTTCCCCTGCCAATCTTCATTCCACCAATTGCTCCACAATCACCCTCACCTATCATCTGGGGCTGGTACAATAGGCCAGAAATGGCCGTAGTACAAGCGACTTAGTCCCACCCCACTAGCAATAACAAAACATCTTTATTACGGTGTATTGTATATGTATGTATAGCAGGAGCCGGAATAGCTCAGTCGGTATAGCAACTGGCTACGATCGGGACGACCGGTAGGTCGGAGTTGAGTCCCCGGTAGGCTAAAGAATTTTCCTTTCTCCATGTCGTCCAGACCGGCTCTGCGGCCCACCCAACCTCCTATACAATGTGTAACGGGGGCCCTTTCCCCGTGCTAAAGCGGCCGCGGCGTGAAGCTGACCACTCACCAACTGTTGCCGAGATTAAGAAAATGTGAATCTGCACATTCACTTCCCCATACGCCTATATTGCGTAATTGTTAAATTAGTTACATACAAGGACAAACATGTAGAAAAGCCAAACCAAGGCCCTGATCTTGATATTAGTTGTGTTGTGACGATTGTAATGAAGAAGTTGTATATTATAACACAACAGGATGCATTTAATGAAAATCTTAAGCCCATTTTTTTTTGTTCTAAAGTAAATAGGCTAGAAAATATTTAACTTGCCTACGCATACACAATAATATAAATGCTGTTACCTAGCAAAGGGAGTTACGTCTTTACTGCTGTTGCCAGCAATGGTCGTCAATTATTCCATGATTGCGTGTGTATTCGTTGCAGTGGTAACGTTTTTACCGAACCGTTACTTAAGAGAGTTTTGGGGGTTACACATGGAGACACAAAGACTGACGGGAGGTATTTATGAAATACGCAGTTGAGATGGGCTCAGGTGTCATGATACACATACAAAGTTTCAAAGAGATCGGTTCGGCCATGCTGAAGTTGATAAGAGGGGTGAAGATACACGGACACACAGAACATGGCGATCTCATAAGCCTACTTTTATTTTTTAAAATAAGGAAATTATGCTAAATATACCTGAATGACATAGGTACGTAAGTACTTTGTTAAGCTTAGATAAAGTGTGGTAAGGTAGTCCACAGGGCCAGGAGAGGTCGCTAGGAAATCCATCGAATTCACAATCCTGCTATACGTAGCACATAAATCCGAATTATTGCATTTTTCTGGAAACAACAGCTTAGCAAAAGTTTTCAACAAAACAGGCATAAAGACAATTGAAAATATAGTTCCTTTTGCATTGATAATTAATTTCATCTAGCAGAGTCCTTCTTGAGAAGCTGACTATCACTCAGCTTATCCTGTTCAGAGCATTTTTCTACTGCCTCGAGACCTGTGCTGGATGAATCCAATCCACATTCATATTTCTATAGCTTAGTTTATTTCGGAGGATGTGGCCATGTACGAGGCCATGTGTCACATCTCGTTACAAGTCGGGCTTCAACCCTGTGACTGTTATTGACCTCCCCCCCCCCTCCAATCCAGTTGTCTGTACATGACTGCTTATTCAGTACACACACCCCTAGCTTCCCCACGTGAAGGTTCTTCCCCCGCTATGTGTAATTATATGGATTTGATAGTGCAGGAGGAAAGACTAAGGACCCAGAGCTGATTAGATTTCTGAGCACTGTAGCTGTCCGATTTTTACCTGCGAAAGAAGCCATTGTCTCTCTGCAATTATAGGGTCTAGAAGCAGGACAGACTGAAACAAATAAAGACAGCTTAGGACGATCACAGAAATAGCCCACACGGGACTAGCGACAGACAGTGGAGCAGAGCGATCGATAACCCTCCTGGTCTTCCTCAGGTATTTGAGGCCATGTTGAGTTATTTTTACAGAGTTCAGAAGAACACCTGTGGATGGGGGATGTACCTCTGGCTGCTCGCATTGGTCGTTTTGGAAATTATTGACGTGATTTCAACGAAATGTGGTTTCAGATCTCATACTCTACGTTGTCGGACGAATTCGATTGTGATTCATGTCGATCCTCTAATCGAACTTGCCTGTTTCTCACAAGAAACGTCATATCCTGGTAAATGCTGATGAATGATGTGGATGTGGGCTCAATTGTAAAGGTAAAGTTGTCCCTGTGCGTAACTAATTAAGCACTAAGCCATAAAGGCGTAAGGGGGAGTGGATGTATAGACCCAAGTTTCCTTGACCTCGGCACTAGTTGGAGGTGAATGGTCAACTTCATGTCCTGGCTACTTTACCCACGGGGAAAGAGCCCCCGGTACTCATTGGATAGGAGGCTGGATTCACCCCAGATCCCGTCTGAACGACGCGGGGAAAAGAAAACCCTTAACCCTAACGGCACACGAACTCCGACACCTTGGCCGTCCAGCCCGTAGCCAGTCGCTATACCGACTGCGCTCTCCCGGTTCTATAGGCTTAATGAAGATGCATAAATTTTGTTAAAAATTTGTCGGTGTGATTAGTGTGTGTCGAAAGAAAAGAAAAATATACCTATCCTACTTCCCTCATTTATAAAAAAAAAAAAGAAACAAAAGTAGGCGATTATCATGCTGTCTGTGTGTGTCTGTGTATCCCCCCCCCCAACAACTCTTGAATGGCTGAACAGATGTTTATTAAACTTCTTGCGTATATCATGGCAAATGAACCCATGCCAACGGCGTACTTCATAAATTCCTCCCATCAGTCTGTGTATTTACATATGTATCCCCCATCGTTGCTGGCAACGCCTCGATAAAAAAAAAAAAGAAACATCAAAGCGATAAAAATTTCACACCCAGCAATAGAAGAATTTTTGGACTCGTCTTTTTCTGTGCGGTCCGTGTCGTATCAAGGAAAGCAGGCGCTCAGTTCTTCCCAGATCTCTTTATGTTCTTTACTCTGTTCATTGCAATGTCTTTAGGGCGATTTGCTCTGTCGGAAACATATGAACATCGTAAAAAAGCAAAACTATCCCTGTAAGAAGCCGTGAAGATCCATACGGTTGTGAGACGTTCTGGGTCCCACATTTTCTAGACAATCGGCTCACAAATGACGGTGAGATTGTCAGCCTTAGGCGCCGGCTGCCCTTTAGCCCCAAGAAGATTCCTGGTACTCATTTCTGCTAGAGGCTGAGTCGACCCGAATGCCATAATGCAGCTAGAAGGATGAGGTCAATTGAAAAACCTAATGAATTCATCGGGAATCGAACCCGCGACCTAGCACCTTTAAGTATAGTGCCTCAACTAACTACGCTATCGCGTGCCCCATATCTGAACATCGACACCTGTGATCTAGTAGTTGCAGTTCCTGGCTACAGATCCAGAGATCCGAGTTCGATTCCCGGCGCTACGAGATTTTTTTCTGAGAAGTAGTGGGCCTGGAATGGGGTCCGCTCAGCCTCGTGAGGATAATTGAGGAGCTATTTCAAGGAAACAGCGGCTCCCGTCTAGAAAACCGAAATTAATGACCATGGGGATCCGTTGCCCTGACCACGTGACACCCTCTATCAGCTAACGTTGGCACTAACTTAGCCGACAAACGGCGGTCGCTCAGTCGGTATAGTTCGCTTGCGGACTAAAACCAGAAATCCGATCTCACTATTTCAAGTAAAATTTGTGTCTTTAAAATATGATAATTTTATTCATTAGTAGTTTGTCTTTCTGTTTCCTTCTCTCATCATTATCAACGTGTAGTTCTGGCCTGTTCTGATTACTGATTACAAGGATTCAGACTACTCCATCTTGTCGTTTGACGTCTCTGTCGATTTATATCGATAATCTAGTTTCATAATTTGTTTTTCAGACATTCTTTCCAAATGTTATAGCAGCTTACTTTGTTAGTTATTTTATCACATTAGCTTATGAGCTCCTTCTCTTGTTCGGTCTTTCTCCCCGTTCATTCTTTTACTAATTATTTTTCCGCCTTTCTTTCTTGCTTATTTTCTGCCTTGTCTCTTTGCTTTCTTCTTTTTGGATCTCTTCCATGTTTCTTCTATTATCACTTTGTTGGAGCTAAATGATGCAGACAAAGCAGGAGAGATCCCAGTCCGAGACACCAATCTGCTCACATAGCCCAACCGTAACTGAAACCGTTAACCTAAAATGTAAGAGTACAAAGTATCTTTTGTTTTTCTATACTATACTTGCACGTGTTCTGGTACAGCGATTTAAATGAGGTCGAATTTGTTCGTAGCAAATTTTTTT